GAGCGTCAGGAGCGCGTTGCCCGGCGGCGAGACCCACAGAGCTGCCTCAAGCGGGGGCTGCATCGCATCATACCCTACGGCGGCATCATCTCCTCCGGATGCAACCTTGCCAGCTCATCGCTGGGCGCCGGAATACTTGCGCTGCCGTATGCCTTCAACACGTCCGGGCTGGCGATGGCGCTGGTGTACCTTGTGGTGGTGGGTCTGCTGACCATCTACTCCTTCACCCTTCTGGGCATCGCCGGGAAGCGGACGGGGCTGCGGAACTACGAGCAGGTCACGAGGGCTCTTCTTGGGAAGGGTGCGGACTACTTTTTGGCCTTTAACATGTGGCTTTTCAGCTTTGGTGGCGAGGTCTCCTACATGATCTATATGGGAGACCTTATTGGCGCCTTTATTGATAGTTCGCAAAGCGCCCCAGAATATCTCAAATCCTCCTCTGGCCGCCGATTAATTACGAGCATGGTGTGGCTTGTTGCCATGCTGCCGCTGTGCCTACCGAAGGAGATCAACTCCCTGCGCCACATATCTGTTTTGGCTCTTGCATTTGTCTTTTTCTTTGTGATCTGCGTGATCATCCATTCCGTACGCAACAGTATCACCCATGGAATGCGTGATGATCTGGTGTACTTCCGGACTGGCAACAGCGCAATTCAGGGCCTTTCCGTTTTCACATTTGCCTTTATTTGCCAGCTGAATGCGTATGAGGTGTACGAGGAAATGTACAAGCCAAGTGTTACGCGCTTTACGAAGAGCGCTGGACTTGGTGTGTTTGCTTCATTTACAATGTTGTTTTGCTCGGGATTTTTTGGCTACCTGGACTTTGGCCCGGCATTGACAGGCTCCGTCCTCAATCGGTACAACCCGATAGAGGACAAGATGATGGGGGTTGCTTATGCGGGTATGGTATTAAAACTGTGCGTTGGCTACGGGCTGCACATGATTCCAGTGCGTGAGGCTGTTTACCACGTGCTCCACATTGATGTGAAGACGATTGGATGGTGGAAGAACGCACTGGTCTGTGGCCTTATGGCGACGCTGTCACTCATTGGTGGCCTATTTATCCCCAGCATCACGATTGTGTTTGGCCTTGTTGGTGGGTTCTCTGGGGGCTTCATTGGCTTTATCTTCCCTGCCCTGCTGTACATGTACAGCGGTAACTGGACACTGCAGTCGGTTGGGTACTTTCACTACATCGGGACGCACTTTCTGCTGTTTGTCGGTGTGATCGGTGTTGTGTTTGGGACCGCATTTGCCGCTTACGGTGAGGCGATGCATTGAATAGCATTTTTAAAATATATTTTTTTTTGAGCGTAGATGTCCGTTTGGCGGTGGGCGGAGTAGGTGGTTTCCTAATACTATTAATATTAGTTTTATTTATTTTAATGTTCTTTCCCTCTCTTTTCAAGACCTTTTTAGTGCTTTTTTTGATTTCTGTGCGATTTTCTTTTCCTTTTTTATTTATTTTTTATTTTTTATTTTTTACTTTTGTTGTACTTCTTATTTTATTTTATTTTTTGTTTTTGGTGTCGGTCGTCACGTTTCGGTTGCTAGCAGCAGCGAAGGGGGGCATTGCAACGCGCATGTTGTGGTGAAATGCGCCGGCGTATATTTAGCAAGGAATAGATCGGCTGTGTTTTGTTGCACCGTTTTTTTTTTGTACTCCGAACTGCGTGGTAATCGTACGAATTTTTTTTTCATATTTTTTCCATATTTTTTATGTTTTTTTAGGCAGAGTTCACACTCATTTGTCGTGCGGGCGGCGACGTGGCTTCTCACGGACACGTACGGGTGCCACTGCTGCGTGGGGATTGCCTGTTGCCGGTGCGCATTTGCCGGTTGTGTATTTTGTTGTCTGCTCC